AATATTTTTTAGTATAAAAAAATTTTATTAATTGTAGAAATGATTGAAATCTTCACATTCTATAGTCATTTACCAAAGTTATAAAAAATACGAAATATGATATTCTATTGTAAATTTTATCACACTACAACGAGAGAAAATGGAGAGTATATTTCTAATATACATGTAATATGTGTGAAATGAAATATTCTTACTTGTTAGTGAAAAATACAAGTGTGATATATCTAGTTTTCATCAAAAATGTTAAAGTTACGCGTGCTTGTGATATTTATCAATTTTAAATCTCTATAAATTATTATTTTCAATAATAAACCGTATATACATATTTTGTTACTTTATTCATTTTTGTCAGTGTAAGTCAAATACTTAATAATGATATTATTGTCTAAACTAATTTAAAAAAAATCATGTAAAAATATTTTTTTTTCATTTTTATAAATTATGAAGTCATGATATAGAGTCACACAATATTTGTAAGTTGACTAATCAAATTTTACATTATTAATATTTTATAAAAAAAATTTTCAATTGAATTTGTTTTTTAAAGTGTATCTGATATTATGTTGAAATTAAAATCGAACACATCCTTTTTATATATCATAAAATTTGTAAGTAAACTTCATTTTTAAAATTATAAAATAATAAATTTTAAAATGATATAAGACATTATAATACATTTGAAAGAAAAGTTCATTTTGAAGAATAAGGGATTATATTACACATATTACTTTTGCAACTTCATAAATATTAATAATAAGTACTTAGGCTGAAAATAATTTTTATAAAATGTATATATCAATGTGATTCTATAATCAATTGCTCTTAACATTTCAATTTCTATTTTATCAACTAATATATGTATAATTCATATTTTTATCTAATTCTATGTACTATTTATACCAAAGTTTTATTTAACAAATAGTTTATATAAGATATTATTGCAAAATAATATAACAATAATCTATATAGGTTTTAATTTGTTACTGTTTAAACTGGTTATTCTTTTTAGATTTATTTTTATTGTTTTCTTTTTTTGCTATGAATGTGATGCTTTAAATAAATATTAATAAAATATTGAAAGCTTTGCACAAAATGTGCTTTTAAACAATCAAATATTGTTTATTCTAAAATATTGTATAAAACATTCATTGAAATGAAACTATAATTTTTATTACATTCAAGAATAATTTTTTATTTTTAATAATTTGTAAATTATTAATTATTTTATATAATATTTTATTATAATTGTATATACAAAATACAAAATTGTATTATATGTTATATTTTTTTTAATAATTTTCTTTTAATAAATTGTAGAAGAAAATTCAATTTACTTATTTTATAATATTTATAAACGATATATTTATTTTTATTTTAATTATAAATTTAATTAATAATTTAAGGATATATATGTATACGTTGTTGTAAGTGCTATTAGATAAATGGTCTTTATATATATTTTAAATATGTAAATGAGATATAAAAAATTATCTTTTAAATTTTATTTGGTTCTCAATTTGAAAGTATATATTATAATATATATGTAATTGCACTTTTATCAGGATTGAAACTAAAGGAATTGCATTGAATTCAAAAATAATTGAAAAATGTTATAAATATAATGATGTATGTATGTGTATATTTATGCATATATGCTTTATGCCAATTTAAAATAAATCTATTTGGAAATATAGATATTTCACATACAATTTTTATACAAAAAATATTGCAATAAATGTTTCATAAAGAAAAAAAAATATAATGTAATGCAACTATATTCTCCAATGATATTTCAAAATATAATATACATGTAACTTTTGGTATGTGAATATTGTTTTATACAATATTCACTATAAAATATTAAGCTGTCTCAAAAATTATAAATAAATATTTAAAAATAAATTAGTATTGATTTTATTTATAGTCATTTAATAAATTTCGAAAATAAAATATATAAAAAAAATTCTATTTATATTTTTTTTCATTATGATATTATTTTCATGAAGAATATAGTTCTTTTTATTCTTATAAAAATCATAAACTCTTTTATTACTGTAAATTATAAAAATATGTTATAAAATTGTGTAAAAATATATATATAATATTATTTTTTTATGTTACATTATTATGCAATAAATTTAAAAAAACAATTATTTGAATATTGAAGCAAATACTTTGAAATAAATAAGTAAATTCAATTTCATTGCTTAGTTAATATGAAACATTTTATTTATAAGGACTGACAAATATTTTTTCTTAAGAATTTGTAATTAAAATCAATTTTTAATTTAAAAGAATTTATATATAATTTGTTTATAGAAAGAAGTCCAAGAAATAAATACTATCAAAGTTTACTGTCTACATCTTATGCATCACATAACATATAACTATTTTAGCTGACTTGTAAACAATAAGCGAATGATACTATGTTTTACGAAGATTATATAAATGTATAATACACATTTTTATATATATATTTAAAATCATTATAAAACATAGTCCAATTCATATCTAATATACTGATTCTTTGGATCATTCATAATTCGAGGATAACCAGCTACAAGAGCATCTTGTCCACCTATATAAAGAGAATTATAAATTTTCCAATATACATCTCGTACTTTTCGTGCTGGATGAAATAATCCCTATATAAAAACATAATCATGAATGATATTTTATTATGTTATATCTATTATATTAATATTCATACAGTTGATTATAATATGTACCTGTAAAGTATATTGTAATATTTTAATTGGTCCAAGAGCGACACGTAATCCATCTACTGCGTCCATAAATGCTTGTACTAAATGAGGTGAAGTTTCAAAGACATTCGGCCATACATGATTTAATAGATGTATCAACGCATCTTCGCATCCAAACCCATAAACACCTAATGCCATATGTTTAATAGCAGCACATGCTGTTTGTCTATGTACTAAATCTCTATAATAATAATAGTAGAATTAAATTAGATTATTATATTATTGTTTTTCATAAAAAAATTAGTTTCTTATATAAATATTTTTTTACCTATCCATAAGTGCATCTTCCAACAATGGACTAACAGCATAAATATAATCTTTTCCCATTTCACCAATATATTCAAACAAAAAAGATAAAGATTTTAATACGCCATTTTGTACATTTAGTTCTGGTACTCTATATTCATTCATCAATGCAGGAAGTACTGTAAACGGACTACAAGTTTCAGCTACAATAGCTATAGCTACTGTAGTGCATACACGATTTTGACGTTCTTGTACTTTTAAATTATTTAATAAAGTTGCTAATACATCATGAGGACTATACAAATGAATAAACAATTTAAAACATGTTAATGTTAGAAAATTTTCATATTTTATTAAATTTATAATTACCCTATCGCTTTTGCAATATAACCAAATGTATTTACTGTAGCTCTTCTAATCGCTTTCTTATGAGCTTTTAGAAGTTCCAAAAGTTCAAAACATATTCTCATCCATTCTCTAGCAGATACGTATTCAGGTCCTCTATCTGCAATTCTGCCTACGAGATCAATACAATTTTCCTGTACCTAAACATGCAAAATTTTATATTATAAATAATATATTTTTAGAATATATTAATAATTTTTACATATAAATATACTCGTAAATAGTACTAACTTTTTCATGTCTATTCTTTAATATAGGAGTGAGTCGTGGTAATAAATCTTTAATAGGTGGTGTCATTTTTGTCATTCCTATGACATTTACAATAGCTTTTAATGCGCCCAAAATACTACCTAATACTTCTGGATATTCTTCACCCAAATACTCGTAAAGAACAACACCTAAATGACCCATTAGTTTTTCCTATAAATAAATAAAAATAACAAAAATAAATATCATCTTATATTAATAAAATTTATATGTACAAAATATAAATTTACTTCTTGGCAAGTCTTCATCACAACAGCAATTCGTGATATTAAATCAGCAGCTTGTTGTCTTACTTTTGCAGATTTATTATTTAATCTCCACAATATTGTACCGCATATTTGTGGAAGATATGCTTTTACTCGTTTTCCTAATGTGTTCACAATGGTACCAAAACCATTTAACATTACTACATCCTATGTAGTAAATAAATAAATTTATTACATTATTATTCTACAATTTGAATTTATAGAAATTATAATTAATGCAGACCTCTGTTGTTTGTTCTTGAAAAGCATATAAAATACCATCAATAAGTTGTTCTTCCAAACGAGAATCAACATCCGCTGCTCCTAAATTACCCATTATTTTTTCAATAGTTTCCATAACCATTTTTCTATATTGTTCATTTTCATCCTTCAAATCATCTACTACGCGATTTATAATTTCTGATGCGCCAACTTTATTTGCAATTTCTACAGTTGTATCCACAAGCTAAAAAATCAAATTTTTATAAAATTCGTGTAGTTGTAATTTTTTTATTAATATGTTCATTAATATATATAATATATAT